AGGAGGAAGGACTGGGAAAATAGAAGCTAGGGAGCAGAAAAGGAAATACCAGCTTTCCGAATTTGGAAGGCAAAGTTTCCTGGAAATGACGAGGATTATGAGCAGGGAGGCAGCCGAGGTGGGGACAGAGGGAGGTGTTCAGACGTGGGAAAGCTTCAGCTCAAGAGTCCAAGAAGCCAGGTAACTGGAGGGGCCTCACTTTGGATGCTGGAGCAGCCCGGCATGGGCACAGGGAATGGTGTTGCGATCGGCCAGGCATCTCAGAGACCTGGGCATGGCCACCAGGATGCAGGGGGGTGGTCAAGGCTTGGTGTAGACAGAGCCCAAAGGCGGCAGGACAACAATCTGCAGTCCCCGTGGATAACTTCTCCGAGCCACCCCAATGCACCAGAGCTCCAGAATGAGCAGTGGGGGGATAAAGGATGTCAGGAGGCCTGTGGTCAGGAGACCCAGATCCGGGGATCACCGTGGAAGAACATCTGGGAGCCCAAGCAAGAAGCAAGGGAGGGAGGGGACAAAGAGGCAGCAGGCTGTATGCAGCCTGACAGGGGCTGGGCCCAGGCATCGGCTTCCCTGTGGGGAGGAGGAACCTGACTTCAGTCCCTGGGGAAGCAGGTAAACCAGGAGACAGAGCCCTGGAGCCACGACGCTCACAGTGTTCATGGAGATTCCATCAAAACCCAAGATTCCATCAAAACCGGGAATCCACACTAGAAATGACTTAAAGCCTGCTGTCCCAATCTCCTCCTATAATGGACAAGAAAACAGAGGCCGGAGCACAGAAATGACTTCTAAAGTCATTTCCCAGCAAGTCTGGCAAAGCTGGGACTAGACCCCAGTTCTCAGTCCTTCAGTCCGGAGTCCTACTGTGCTGCTCCTGTAACACCCCCTTCCAACTCGGGAGGGGCAAAGCGCCCTGAAAGGCAAGAGCAGACGGGCTGTGGAAGGGGAAAGATGCAGACCCACTCTTGGTCCTGAGCACAGAGAAAGGAGCTCAAGGTTTGGTTGCAGCTGCGGGAGCCTCTGCCTGCTTGTTTGTTTGCCTGTTTGTTCTGAACCCAGCTGAGGAAGCCACACCCTTTTCTCTCAATGACAACCCCAGGGTCACTGTCCAGAGCAAGGAAAACTGGCCCAATTCCTGCCCTAGCAGGAGGCGCTGAGTTTCCCTGAAAAATCGGTACCTAGAGGAGAAGAACCCCTCCCAGACCCGTCAGTCCAATCTCTGGCCTCGGTTGGCAGCGAGGAGGCGAGTGGGGCAGTGAGGCACCTACCCATCATGCCTCGGGTCAGAAGCTGGCCTCACCTGGGCCTGGGCTAGCCTGGGACCTGGGGTCCCGCTGTGGCCTTTTGAGATGAGGGCAACATGGGATCCCCGAATGCGACTCCTGTCTGTTTGGAAGTGCTGTGTAGCTGCTCACTCCCACCCAGTGCGGAGCCTTCTCTCCCCACACCCCCAGGCACTTGCATCCCGAATCAACACTGTGGTCACAGTCAGTGGCTCTGCAGAAAGTCACAGGACAAAGGGCAACAGACCAGTGCTCATCTCACACTCACTCGTTTCCTCATTTATTTGTGCACTCCTGCATTTATTCATTCAACAAACGAATAATGTTCCTTCAGTGCCTGCCGAGCCGAGCGCTTGCTCCGGGCTCGGACTCCAGAGGTGCGCAGGGCGGTGTCGCTGCCTGAGCCACAGTGGAGTGGAGGAGTCCGGCCTGAAGGTCAAGACTCCCCAGCAGAGCAGAGGTGCCCACCGCACCCCCTTTGTGCGCGCACACTTTGTTTTACACACTCCCTATTTCCTTTTTAATGTTTTTGTTTTTCTTTAAAATTGGTTGACAAATTTTATGAGCAGGAGTTTTCGCATAAAAATACAGGCTTCCTGGACCTTCAGGAGATCCAGTAACACCTGGTCCATTTTCCCACAGGGCAGCCCTTGCCCAAGGCTGAGTGAGTACTGGCTGTCCCTTCAAGTGAAGAACTTTGCCACAGTCTCCACCACTCCCTGGTGTCCCCAACCCTAAGGCCCCACGTCAGTCGCCTGACGCTGTTGATGTTCTCATGCCCGGCCAGCTTCACCTTGGGCCTTATTCCTGCAAGGGTGTGTGGGAGCCCCTGGGTCCTGCGTGAAAAGTGCTCCAGCAGAGGCAGCAGAGGGCGCTGTGGGAGCACACGGGAAGGGCACTCAGGCATCTGCAGGGCCGCCGTGAACAATAGACGTTTCTTTTTTTTTTTTTTTTCACGTTTTAAAACTTTTTATTTGCATATTAAAAAAATTGTGCATTCCAATAATTAAAATCATTTGAACAAAAAAAAATGGCACTCTGATTAAACTGCATTTTACAGCCTGCAGGAAACCTTGGGTCAGCTTGGTTTTACTCTAGATTTCACTGTCGTCCCACCCCGCTTCTTTCACCAACATGCAAGTTCTTTTCCTTCCCTGCCAGCCAGACAGGCAGATGGGAGAGGCAGGCGCGGCCTTCGTTGTCAGTAGTTCTCGATTCTTTGATGAGAAAGGGGCAGCACAGTCATTTAAACTTGATCCAACCTCTTTGCATCTTACAAAGTTAAACAGCTAAAAGAAGTAAAATAAGAAGACAATGCTTGTGGAATGTACAGTGCATATTGGCGGGGCTCGCCTCATTACGACTCGCCTGCTTGCTTCTCCTGTTCAATCGTTTCTTTGGAAGGCAGTGGATTTTTCTCTTGCGTTTCTGTCTTCTTCAATTTCGACTTATCGAATTTCTCGATCTCAGCCATATCGGGCTTGTCAGACATGGTTGCGGAGAAGCGGAGCGAGGGGCGAGGCGCAAAAGCGAGAAGAATCCTATCTGCGCAGTGACCACCACCGAATGTAATAGACGTTTCTTAACAGCCTGAGGGCGGGCACACAGGGCCGGCTGCTGGCTGCTGTCTGAGCTTCTTCCAGCTTAAAGGATGGGGGCGGACTCAGTTAAGGAATGGATCTGAAGTTTCCAATCATGTGTTCCTAGGCTGTGTCTGCATCGTTCATTCATTCATAGATGATTTACTCATTCATTCAATCCTGCATTAGGCAAGCATGTATTACATACTTGCTGTGTGCCTAGCACTGTGCCAGGCCCTGTCCTTAGCCACCAAGAGTTTAAAATGTGATTTGGAAGACAGGATATAAGATAATGCCCCCCTTCTGTATTGTGACTCACTCACCAATTTCTCCCAGCATCTAGTATTAGTGTCTGACCCTGGATGCTTAACCAATACTGGTTGCATGCATGAATTAAAAGGTAACTAATAATAATACCTCTTATTTACTGAGCTCTCCCCAAGTTTACATGTGCTATTGTAATCCTCAAAGTAGGTCTTGTTATTAGCCTATCTTACCGATAAGGAAAATGAGGCACAGAGAAGTTAAGTAAATTGCCTAAGGTCACACAGCTAGTCTGAACTCTTAACCACTACTCCATCTGTTGGATTGCCAATGCAAGGCTGCGGTACTCAGGGCCAAGGGTTAGCACACGCAGGGCTGCCTCGGGCTTTCAGAGGGCTGAGAAGGCAGGAGGGGCTGGGGCAATGAGGGAAGGCTTCACAGAGGCTGGACAAAAGGACTAGTGGGGATGAAGGGGAGAACCATCTTCTTTGACGGAGGGAGAGGCAGGGACGAGCAAGAGGAAGGGAAGGTGCCCGGAGCGGGTCTTCCATACATGCCTCCTGGGGTGAGGGATAAGATGCCAGCAAGGACACGGATCGTTCAGCAAACCGAAGCAGGTCCCGCGTGCCAAGCCCTGCACTGTGTGCATGGGAGCATACGACATAAGTGAGAACCTCCCTTTGAGGGTCTATAGCCAATTATTAGACAGAGGCAATGGTGTAAATAACTTTACTCCAGGAAAGCGAGTGTTGAGAGACAGAAGGTATGGAAATGATTGTCAGGGAGGAAGAGACTGTATACAAATGGGAAGAACAGAGCAGGCTTCCTGGGAGAGGTTGCATTTGAACTGAGCCATGAGGGGTGGGCAGGATCTTACCCTGTGTTGTGGGGGAAGGGCATTCCTGGGGTGGCAAGGTGGAAGGTGGGCCCTGCGCACCCACGGGGCAGGAGGAGTGAAGGGAGTCCATTCCCAGAGGGCTTTGTGTGCTGGGCAGAGCCATCGCAGCTTTCCCTGTAGGCAATGGGGAGTCACTGGAGGTTGGTAGCAGGGTAGGGACATGTCGCACCCACCAAGAGGTTGCATAAAAATACCTGTCTTCCAGGTTGTAAGTTCCTGGACTCCTCATTGGGAGCAGGATTTGGAAGAGTGACACTCAGGGTTATTAGAAACACATTCGCCCTGAGGTGCTTTTTGTCAGACTGCAAGAGGGAAGTATCAGCAGAATCACCCTTAACCAGGAACCAGGATATCTGGGTCCAAATCCTGCTATGTTGCCAAACAACTATGTGACCTTGCTCAGGTCCTTCTCTGGGTGTCAGTTTCCTCATCTACAATGCAAATGGGTTGACCACTTCTGAGAACCCTTCTAACCCCAATGCCCACCCTATGAATCTAAGAACCTCACACCAACCCCTCACCTGCCTAAGAGCCCTTGTCACAGAGCCAAGCAAGCAGAGGGGGAAGGTTCAGTCCATCCTTGTTGGACTGACGGAAGGGACAGACTGCCCACATGGGGGAGGCAGAGTGGGTCGGGCACCCCAGGGGTCCTCTGCCCACCACCAGCTCTGGCTACCATAGGTGAGACGGTGCCCACAACCTCAATGGGGACGGGGGATGAGGGGCGCCGGGGGCGTGGCAGGCTTGCTGGCTTGCTCAGGGACAGTGAGGGCTTGGGGTGGAGGGGAAATGAACTACCCAATCAGCTTCCTCCCCACCCTGCTCCAGGCCAGGGCTGGGAATTTCACAAAAAGGCAGAAGGCACCATGTGAACATTTCCTGCCCCGCCCCAGCCCCCTTCCTGGCAGCGTTACCACACTGCTCACCTGTGAAGCAATCTTCTGAGAGAGGGCTGAATGCCCCGGCCAGAGGATGCCTATAAATGCTGGGCCTGAACTGTTCTCTCAAACGCTCTGTGTAGCTCCTTGGCTTTGGTAAGTGAGCTGCCAGCTTCCCTGAGCACAGCCCGCCAGCCAGTTCCTTCTTTTCTCCCCCTATTCAACTTCCTTCCAAACTCTTCTCCTGGAAGCCCTCCTTGATTGCCCTCACCCACCTTAAAGTTTTCTTCCCATTTTCTTAGGTCATGTTCTGCTGGAGCCTCCTGCCCTCAAATGCTTTGCTTTTTGGCTTTCTCCAGATATTCTAAAAATCATTTTTCACATGTATGTGACAGGTCATCTCCCAGTTAAGTTGCAGCATGACTTTCTTTTTATTTTGTGTTTCCCCTTCATCCCTGTGAGCAGCGGTAGGAAACGTTAAGGAAGCTTCACAGCGTTTTCTTCTAAGTACCACAACCCTTGCTTCTCAGTTACGCAGAATTCAAGAAGATGGCGAGGGAACAGTCGCAGCTGGAACGCGCCATAGAGACCGTCATCAACACCTTCCACCAGTATTCTGTGCGGTTGGAGCCACGAGACTGCCTGAGCCAGAAAGAATTCAAACAGCTGGTGCAAAAAGATCTGCAAAACTTCCTCAAGGTAGGGCTGGACTCTGGTCGGTCTCATGGCAGTTTGGGTTCAGAAGGCAGGATGGGGCGCAGTCTACGGCGGGCTGCGACCAGCCTGCAGAGGCAGCAGGTGCCCTGTCGCTGGGGGAGCTAAGTCACACAGTCCTGACAGAGTCAAGAAAGTGTTCTGTTGAACGTCTGCTATGTGCCAGGCCCTGGGCAGAGGGATGCAATGGTGAACAAGGAACCCACTATCCCATGCACGACAGAGTTGTTGCTAAATAAAGAGCACAGACAAAGCCCAATGCCAATAAGTGCCTGGATGGAAGAAAATAAGGTAGAGAACTGTGGGCGATTTGGCTGGGTAGGGTAGATAGAGGTGGCTAGATAGGGAGAAGGGCCTCTTTGAGGAGGTGACATTTGAGCTGAGACTTCAATGCGGGAAGGGAAGCACCTGAGGACGACACTCGGCAGGAAGCTGGAGGGACTCTAAGTCTCCGGTGGGCACGTGGGGCGGAAGGTGCGGAGCATGGAGGGCTTTGCTAATCGTAAGGGTCTATGGTGGAAAACGGATAAGTAAATAGCATGTGGAGAGCACCCAGCACAGCGCTGGCACACAGAGCACTCAGTAAAATGTGAGATTTTTTCCCCCCAATTGGAAGATGATTAGGCAATTCTAGGAACTTCCAACAGCCTTTTCGTTTTCTTTTCAAAATTGGGGAATGTGGGGAAACAGTGGCCTGGACAAAGAAGGGTGGGACACGTGGTCCCGGCCTCAGTTCCAGTCCCGCAACCAGCCATCCAGGGTGGGTCCCCAGGGCTCCTGCTGCCCCTCCCTCCACCTTGGTAAGGTGGAGGGTGACAGCCATGGGCGGTATTAGGGACACGGACAGCTAAGCAGGATGCTGGATCAGGGTGGACAAGAGAGGGCATGGGTAGGAGGCTGTGTGGCAAGGTTCCCCTTTGCGTGACCCCCACACTCGCCCCACTCGCCTCTATGACAGCCCCTGCCAGAAGCAAAGTGATAGGCCAGGAAGGGCGCTGGGCCTGGTGGACTGGCTGCTCAGCAGCAAGTGCTCCCACCAGCTGGGCACCCCACAGTTCCAGGAGGGACTCAGCTGGGGTGCCCCAGCCAATGGGCAGCAGAGCTGGAACTAGCTGGCATTCTCTGGTGCCCCCCAACCTTCCCACCTCACCTGCCATCTCCCCTTCTACACTCTGTCCCCCACTTTGGGGTCTGCAGAGCACATACACTGCTCCCTGCCCCCATCCCCAAGGTCTCCATTATCTGTTCTCCCATGTGCTCCCCCGCTGCGCTGTTTGGAGTGAGTTTCCCTAAGAGTAAGCTCCAGAAGGAGGGCGGGGAGGGAGAAGAGTGGAGGGGATGGGGCGGGACCCTAAGTCACATCCGAGCCTCGCCAATCTGTAAAAACTAATGACCCTCTCTAGGACTTGGTTACCTCAAGTCTTCCCCAAAGAAGACTGCATTCCTACCTGTTAAAGTTGGTGCAAGGACAGGATGAGATGACATTTCTAGACTTACTAATCATGTGATCTCAGCCCAGTCCCTTGACCTCAGTTTCCTCTTCTGTAACACAGACAGAGTCACAGCACGCAAGTCCTACAGTTGTGTGGGGAGTAAACTGGAAATTGCTTGGCATGTGCTCAGCACCTGCTCCATCCTGGGCACTCAGGCCATGGTTGCCTTGAGTTTTCAAGTTGAGCCCCAGGGGCAACGCTTCCCTGTGCACTTGCTGTCTGGTAGTTCTCTGTGCTCCCAAGCCCCACCTCCAGCCACATGGCCCTAACAGCCCTCTCTCCCCCACCCACAGAAGGAGAAAAGGAATGACAAGGCCATAAACCACATCATGGAGGACCTGGACACAGACATGGACAAGCAGCTGTCCTTTGAGGAGTTCATCGTACTGATGGCACGACTGACAGAAGCCTCCCACGAGGAGATGCACAGGAATGCCCCCCACCCCGATGAACCAGGCCACGAACATGGGCCAGGCCTCGGGGAGGGTGGCCAGGGCCAGGGCCACGGCCACAGCCATGGCCACGGCCATGGCCACAGCCATGGGCCAGGTCTTGGAGAGGGTGGCCACGGCCATGGCCACAGCCACGGCCATGGCCACGGCCACTAATCAGGAGGCCAGGCCACCCTGTGCCTGCCCAACCAGAGCCCTGGGAGCTGTTATGCCAAACTGCCTTGGCTGTGGGGCTGGGGCTGGGGGAAAATAAAGTCCTCCTCCACACCAGCGCTCTGCGTGCTTCTTCCTCCACCCCGCGCTTGTCGGTGGCCCAGCCCCCTCATTTAGTAATAACAAAATGAGAGGCAGTAATACATGAGTCTGTGTTGAGCGCCTTGGGCTCACCCCCCTGACAGTGTCCTCACTCCTGACTTCAGGACCCACTGCTGAGGACCAAGTCACCCTGTCCCATCTCAGACCTCCCTGCCCATCCTGACAAGATGGCCCTTGTCACTGCACAAAGAAGAAGGGGCTATCTTTTCCCCTCAACGTGCCAGCCACCTCCCAACCCAGCCCCACCCTGTGCACCTGTCACCCTCCATACAGCCCACTCTCTCCTGATAGACACCATTGCCCTGGAAGTCTTCTAGAAATGGACCTAGATGGTGCCATCGCTGGGGATGACTGGGGAGGAACACTTGTGCACCAGCAGTGGAAACAAGGACAAACCAAGTGTGTTTACCCTCAAACTCATTTCTGGACCCAAGAAAGCAGTTGGGTCTCTCTTAACAGACCCAGCATCCCAACTGTGGGTGCTGGTGGACATGGGGGTGCTCACACACTTGGAAGTCTGGGAGTGTAGCCCATGCCCAGGAGTCCCTGGCTGGCCGTCTGAAGAAATGAGCTCAGTGACTACCATGAGGAGTCTGTACTCTGGATGCGGAAAGCCACTGGGGCCTGAAGACTGTGAGGCCCGCTGTCCTCCCTGTGTTGACCAAGATTCCTTCAGTTCCCCATCAGTAGCTGAGAGCTCAGCCCGCAGGGGCATTTGCTTCTCTGCAAAGCCTGGCCCCAGCTCCCCCAGGGCTGCTGCTGCTGCTCCCTTCCAAGTCCATCCCAGTGACTCCTCTGCCATCTCCCTGTCCTCTGGCCATAAAGTCCCTTTCCCAGGTTACAACTAGCTGAGGTGGGCCTTCCAAAAACCAGAGCCCAGACCAGGGTCCTCTGACACCTATCCTTTCAGCAGAGAGAAGACTCACAGAAATAAGATGTGGGGGAGCTGGGGAAAGACTAGCAGTCACCTACTCTCCCTTTGTCAAATGAAGGAACCAAGGCGTATGTGGAGAAGAAACTAGTGTGAGGTCACGCCATGGTGGACTTGGTTAAAATAGTACTGTGAGCAAAGGGCCTTGAACCCCATCTGCTCCACGAGCTGGATCTGCCAGCCCCCTCCCCAGCACTGATCGAGAAGATAGAAGCTGCCACGGTCAGATTTCAGCTCCCCGCTCACTGTCTGGCTGTGGCTGTGTCCCCAACCTGCTTGTAACAGACTCCTCTCCAACGACCCAGGAGCCTCTGCTCTGGGCACGTGGATTTAAGGGTGCTGCTCCCACTCAAGGGCATGAGGGTGTCTCCAGGAACTGTTACAGGCTGTGAGCTTAGGCAGCAAAGTCTAGTAGCCCTTACCAGTCCCTTCTGTGACTGACTTGGGGACCAAACAGCTAGAGACGCTCATCTTCTGACAGCCCTTCTGTCCCCACGCTTTCATCCGGGGAGGAGTCACCATCTTCATCCCCTTTGGGAGGCCTGAGACCAGATGTTTCCAGTAGGGTGGAGGTGCTCCCCCACCTCCTCTACCCACCATTACTTGTAGCAGGGTCTGCCTCCCCCACTAGACCATGAACTCCGTGAGGGCACAGTCCCCAGCATCTATCTCAGTCTCTGTTTTATCCCCAGCACCTGGAGTAGTGGCTGGTACACAGTAGGTTCACAACAAATACTGACTGTATAAATGTTCTAAAATTTCTCACGTACTCCATGCTTTTTCCCAGGGGAAGGTGTGGGGGAAGGAGGGAGGAGGGGAGTGGGATTAAAACCTGCAAACAAAAGGCTTCTGGATTAGCATCATAGAATCCCACCCCTGAAGGTAAGGGGAGCAAGCTTATGGGAATCTGAAGGCCCCTCCCCGACTTTGTTCAATCAGAACTGTTGGATTTGAAGAAAGAGATTCGTTGTGAAAAAAATTTGAAAACTATTGACTTAATCCAACCTGCACCACTCCCACCCTTGAGTAATTCTCCCCAACATCCCTGCCAAGTGGTTGAACCAACCCTGCCTGAATTCCTCCAGGAAAGGGGAGCTTCCTCTTTTGGCACTGACACTTAGAAAGTCCCTCATTATACTGAGCAAAGAATTGTCTCCTTGTGCCTGCCAGACATTAGTCCTACTTTCCCTCGAACCCCCTTGAGGACACAGAATAAATCTAATCCCATGTCATCCATCGTTCCATCCCTGCATCCACTCCTCTTTTTCTTCAAATGCTCTCCCCGATCACATCTGGGCTTTCTCCAGCCTCTTCACCTCTGCACCAAGAGTTCTCTGCTCCATCCTGGTGTCTCTAGTAAGTCCCTTAGGACCCACAGGCCTCAGAGCCACAAAGACTTCCCCAACCACCCACCCTTCTCAAGAATATAGGGGCTCCCTCCTCCAGGCCCACAGAACTCTCTGGAACTTCCACCACTGCACTTCAAATACGAAATTGTAACCCTTCATCTGTAGGCGTGAGCCCCTGAAAGCAGGGACTATCGCTGATTTTCCCCATATCCCAGATGCCAGCAGGGAACAAGCTCTCGGTGAGAATGTATGAACAAACAAGTGAAGGTAGTATGGCCCTAGGACCCTAAGGAGCTGGACGCCATGGTTGAAGCAGAAGTGGGTGCTTTGTAGGGAAGGTGCAGCGCTTGTGTGGTGAATACGAGGTGGGGTAGCTTTGAGAACCTGGAGGGGGATGCCAGCCTCCTGGCGACCTGGAGTAGGGCAGAGGGCAGAGCAGCTGAGCAGCAGGGTGCCCAGAGGACAGACCTTCTCAGATACCGAGAGTCCTTGCTTTTGCCTTATCTCCCTGCTAACTCGGTCTGAGTGTAGAAGACTGTTCTAAACTCCAGGAGAAGTTCTGACTGCAAGCCACTTTCACAGGTCCCTGTGGGATTTTCTTTAAACATAGTTCAACAGAGCTCATGGAAGTGACTTAACCTCTTCCTTCCATTAGCCCCTTCATTCCAAAAAGATCTGGTTCTGTTGAGTGCAGGGGAGCAGGCTTCTTCTCTCAGATAGACAGCAAGTATGTCAATGTCAAGTGAGAATTGGCGGCCACCTCTATGATTGATGGGTCCTTTTGGGAAACATAAACTTTAGGGATTTCCCCAGCATTATAGTCACTAAAGAACCAGGGACAGCCTGCCAGCAGATGACTATCTGCCAATTCCTACAAAGACAGCTGCCCTCCTGTCTGGCAATTAGCAGTGGAACCTGAACTTCTGGATGTCTTTCTGGGAGGGATGAGGAAGGAGCAGCAGGGGTCTCAGCAGCTGGACTCTGCCCAAATGCTTCACAGTGCTCTGTATGTGCTCCAGGGCCTGGGTGATGTGGGATGGCTCCAGCATTTGGGAAGCACATGAATTCATTTGTCCATTCACTTGTTTGTCCACTCATTCACTCGACAGACATTAACTGCAGACTTACTGTGTATCGGGCACCGTATAATGCTCTGAGGAGCCACCACAGTAAATAAGGGCTGACCATGTTGTCAAGGAGCTCCCAGGCATGCAGGAGAGATAAGACAGCGCCTCAAATGATTCTAATATGGAAAATGAAAGGCCAGGCAGATGTGAAGTTCAGTGGGACTTCGAGGTGGGAATGATGCCTTTCACCGGGGCTATCTCCCTGGAGAGGTGAGTGTCACAGTGACATCCGAGGCCAGTAGCAGTAGACATCCCAGGATAAACAGGAAGGTGCTTCAGAGAGAGGAGAGCGCGTGTGCAAAGGCCTGAAAGTGGGCATGTGTGGGGTTTGAGCAGGACTGAGGAAGGGGTGTGAGAGGGAGGGGTGGAGATACTGAGGAGAGCAGGGCAGGCCCCGGGCCAGGGAGCTACACTCCGCCCAGTAGAATGGGGGCAGCGATGAAGGCTTCAGGGTGGGAAATGATATAATCACATTTGCATTTCAGAGAAGTCTCTCTATCTATGGTTTATGGGAGGGATTTGGGGTGAGGGTGAGACCACAGTCATGCGGGTGTGTTAGGAGGTTGCCCCAATAGTGCAGGCGAGAACTACAGAGAGCCTGAGGTGGTGCCTTTCACAAAAGGTAAATTGAGTCAGAGTCTCAAACTACCCCAGGCTTCATCTCAATTAGGCAAGGTGTAACCCGCAACCCCTGTAGGATGAAGAAGATCATTTTGTGCTGTTAGCCAAGACCTTGCCAAGAAGAAAGGCCTCGGCTTTCAACAGCCCAGTGAGGCAATCTTACACAACCCCGATGCAGGCCCTGCTTAGAAGGAAGCTCCAAAATCCAACCTCAATGCCCTGCCCCCCCTTCCATCAGTTGCTTAAAATTTATATTTTAGAAAGCTCTGTGTCATGGATTTTGACATTTCAATTACTGAGGTGGCAACACGATTGAAACAACTGGTTGCCCAAGTCCTGTTGCCTCTTAAGGCTCCAACCCAAAACAATTCCTCTATCCAAAGACCCTGGTCTGTCCCTGGCTGGACTGGACCCCCACTCTCTGTCTTCAGAGATCCCCCAGACACAAGAGGCAGGGAAAGGGAGCCCTATGGGAGAGAGCCTGACCCCTGTCTGAGAACCCCAGGTTTTTCCTTTTCTCCACAAGTTCTCCCATTTTTGCCCATGTACCCAGAGTTGTCACAGGCACACTGTGCAGTGACCTGAGGTTAGGCGAGAAGAGGGGGTGGCACCCACACACAGAGCAGGGGTGGCAGGGTGCTGGCATGCAGCCTGGGGCAGCCAGCCTGGGCTTGGGTCTGCCCCTCTCCCCCCTGCCCTGCCTCTCCCCCATCCTTCCTGTTTGCTCCACTCTTTTGCTCTCCACCTTTCCTGCATTCTCTCCCGGATCTTTGCCTTGCTTGCTGCCTCCATGCTCCCGCTCTGTGGTGAGATGCTGTCCCAGGCAGCGGGGGTGCTTTCAGGGAGGGGATATGCCATTGAGAAGACTGGGGGTCATCTCTAACCAGGGCAGACTCCAAAACACACCATGGTCG